AGGAGCTGCTGCACGGAGGCTGACGCTGTCTCTGCACATGTCCCTGCAGGGGAGGAAGCTCTGCACGAGTACCTGAGGACGAAAGCTGTGACAGTGGAGTACTGAAGCGGTCCCTTGGCCTCCTCATCACCAGCTGCAAGAAACACCAACAGCTGCTACTTCTTAAACATTCACTGCATCCATGTGCCTACAGATCTTTCATTTTTAAACTTAAAAAAAGACTGGTATTTAAGGACTCACTTCCAGAGATTTTATACACCAACCAGTTTGCATAGCATCACCTTAAACCAGACAAACCTACAGCAAAGAGATGAGCAGACGTGGTTTTCAATCAAATCCAAAGCAGAAGCATTTTTTTGAGTATTGCGAACTTTTGGACTTAACACTTAACACTGGATCACTTAACACCACCCACAGAACTGCAGAGAATTTAACAATAAATAGAACTATGTTTTTTAAACACAGAGGGTTTCTTTTTACTGAGGGAATTTGAGAGCAAAAGGTTTATTTTAGTTTGAATTTTCTTCTTTTTTTATAAGGTGGCTGTATATGTATACTTTTTAATGAATTTAAACACAGATGTCTGTGTGGAGTCTGCGTGGTCTCTCTGCATCTGCATGGGTGTTTTGCCAGGTCCTTCAGGTTCCTTTGCTAATCCTTAAACTTACTGCCTACTCCAAATTGTGTGTAGTCCAGCCCCGAGCTCCTGGAGCAGACCGGTTTCCCAGGCCGGGGAGAGCAGGTGTGCTCAGTCCTGCCCCGAGCTCCTGGAGCAGACCGGTGTCCCAGGCCGGGGAGAGCAGGTGTGCTCAGTCCAGCCCCGAGCTCCTGGAGCAGACCGGTGTCCCAGGCCGGGGAGAGCAGGTGTGCTCAGTCCCGCCCCGAGCTCCTGGTGCAGACTTGCCCTGTCCACAACTCTCACCAGGACAAGCAGCACACTGATAATTGATGGCTAAATGACTGAAAAACAACATTGCTTACTTTTTAGAAAATACCCCAAAATCTGGTCATATATCTTTGTTCCCCCAAAAGTTTCTTATTATAATGATGATGAACAAACTGCTCTACTCACAGTGTTATGAAAATATACAGTATTTGTAATAAAAAATGTGAAGGTTTTAGAAAAAGTTCTTACCATTGCATTCAGTTCTAGAAACAACTACAATACTCCATTGAGCATATTTATTTTCCATCTATTCAGAGTGCATAGAGGTCTAAAAAAATCTTAATTTGCAAAAACCAGAAAGTATCTGTGCCTGCCCTAGTCCCTGTCTCTGAAGGTCTGCTTGTACAAAGAGCCACCATGTAATAATATACCTAAACCCAGTAAATATTTTCTTGTTAGGATTCCCAGTGTGGTGTTTTTCTCTCGCAGTGAGGAAGACTGATACATTGAGGATTGAGCAAAATTTTTAAAAACACTTTCAGTAATAAAAGAAATACAGTTCTGTTACCGATCATATCAAGACACTGATTTACTTGACTGTGACTTGAGCTTAAAGCTTCATTTATCACAGTCTTTTATCAGAGCGGGGTTAGGGTATAACTTTATATCTGGTCTTTTACACATTTTTCCATCCACTGCTGAAACAGGTTTTGTTTGAGTACTGGGAAAATCCAGCAGGGAAGATTTATTTTAAGCTTTCAGATAATATCAAAAGACTTCCCTGTTTTTTCCTTTGCATACAATTTCCAAATCAAAATTTCACATTCTGCGAGCCATCTGATATCCCCACTGTTCAACTCACACGAAACCACTCTATATTCCAGGCCCAGCCGGTACCAGGCTGGATCACACACTCAGGGCTGCTCTGCAGGTCTGCTCAGGGTGCAGTTCCATGAGCACAAAGGCAGCTGTGTTCACCACAAGCCACACAGAGGCTCTCAGTGTCCTGTGCACTGGTGGCATGAGTGAGAGCAGGCAGTCTCAGAAGTGGTTCTGGAAACACAGATATTTACCAGGTCTGTACCAGCTACACTGGGATTCTTGTTATAGGTAGCAGATACCCCCTGACCCTGAAAATGGAAAAGTCTCCAGCACCTTACAAAGGCAACCAGAACATTTTACTGCTATAGGAAAAGACTTTATTGAAAATACCAATCGTAGCGCAAACCCTTTCTTGTACAGTGATACATCAACTCCCTCTTCCAGAATTCCTCGTAGCTGTGTCTTGATGACTTGGGAGCACAAACCAGTTCTCTGGGGAACGACCTGGAAGTGCACCAGACCAGGGTCGTGCAGGAAAATAATGGGATCAACTCTCTGTTTTCGTTCTCCAGCTAAATGCAGGCCAATAGAGTAAGGCTTCCAATCCATTCTAGACCTCCAGGTGTGTGCCGTAGGCATGCACTGACAAAGGAGCCGGGGACAAATCAAGGCTTCAACTGCAGGGGTGCGACACCAATACTTCACGCAAGTGTCTACAATCAGTTACATGATTTAGTCCTATGGACCTTCTGAGATTCTGTGACCTTCTTATCTTCTGAGATTTAATCTTAAAAATACTTCACATACAATATCTAGAAAGCAATGGCATGTGCAGAACAATGCAAGAGAGATGTTTTGAATCCGTTTTACGCTAGAACTGCTGCTGTCCTGCCGCAGGGTGTGTTACTAAACACCTGGCTCCAGGTCTGGTTCCTGATTCACAGGTGGGCAGCTTTTAAATTGCTACTGTGATGGCTGCCAGCGGAAAACATCTGCCATCTGCTTTGCACAGAATCCTGTCTTCTGTGAGGTACTGAAAGCAGAGTCAGCGGA